CCTCACTTTCCCTCAAGAGTGTATGCAAAAAAGAACATGCGTGTTTTCACACACAGGAAGAGAAATTGCCTGGCTGGCAAGCTGACATACAAAGAGCCCTACTTCACACACAAAGATCTCTCTGATCTGGCAATTATAGATCATCCCACCTCATCCCCTCCTCTCTCCCTCTTTCTCTCGGTCTTCCTGATCTTCTGATTGCAGATTGAGGGAGACAGGCAGTACAAGAACCCTTCAATCTGGCTCTCAACTGAGAAAAAGCTGAAAAAGTATTCAGTTCCCTCCGCTTTATGACTCACGAACAATGTAGGATGGTTGGGAAATCTATTGAAAACAGGGCATCGTTATATAGGGTTTGTTTAACAAATGCAGATTAGCCCTAGAAGGAGAAATTCTTTCTATAAGGAAATCTCTGCTGAATATTAAGTAGTAAAGTTAGATTCTGTGTATTAATATTGGCAGCAGTTCTGCATCATTTAACAAAACTACATTACCACCATATGGCACTGATGCAGTGTGAGTAGAGGGAAAGTCTTGTTCCTGCAAAATCATCTCTTGTTCACAACCACTTAATCAATTCACAAATCAATAGCACGCACTAATACAATGGCCCTGTTTGTTCATTACTTCATTACTGAGTCGCACTAAGAGGATACGGTTCAAAGGTCACCTTGCAGCATCAACACCCTTTTCAAAAGTGTGAAGGACAGACACTTAGATGTATTGTTTATGTGCTTGTCTGTCAAGTAAAAGACCAGTCCACACGGGCATTTAAAATATGATACAGGCTAAGTTTCATACTGACGTAAAATCAATTCAAAGATTTGATAATGAAACCCTGAGGCAAGGATTGTCAGAGGAGAGAAGTGATGCTTTTGGACCACTGACCGTATTCTCTTTGACCTAATCATTCATTTTAAGACAGAAATGCTTAGTGAGATGAATGGTAGTTGACATGCAGGACAAGACTATTCGGTCTAATTACATAAAATTAATTGCATGAGTATGTTGAATGAGGATTTGAAGAATATTCATGGCTAGATATTGTTTTACTAATGTATAAAAAGGGAACCGCAGTGGGACGAAACACATCTGTATTCCATGTCAATACCACAATTATCTGACATTGTTTGGCCTTAATACTAGTTTTCGACATACTGTAAAGCGGTGAAATGTGCAACAACAATAAGCACTGCAGAGTTCTTTCTGCATCATTGTCATCCGCAGAGAAGACCCAGTTTCACCGGGGACCAATTACTTTGAGGATGCACAATATTGACATTTATGTAAGCTCCATAATTTAAAACAGTACTCTTCTGTAAGGACTGAAAATAACAATATGAACGTGAGGCAACAGTGCATGTGCTCATTAGGGAAAAAACTGAATAGAAAAAAATAAACACGTACATTTAGAATGAATGGCTTTACCCAGAGACCGAAGCCAAACTGGCTGCTGGAAGAACAATTATTGGATGCCTATTGGCAGCTCCGATGTAAATAAGAGTGGGCTGGTGCCTCAGCCTTCAGATACCACGCCACAGAGAGAGAGCTCCAGGAGCTGCGGTATACTGCTTCAAATGTTATCTCCATTAATTTGTTTTAGTCCTCAAATTCCTATTTTTCTATCAACTTCTGGGACATTAGGAATGTTGTGGCTGAATTGTTCAATTATTCAATTTCAAACCAAATAACTGGCAGAGATTTACGCCTTTGTTGCAGTGTTTGAAAAGCTCTGTCAACTGTATGGGGTGGGAGAAACATCAACACATTTTCAATCAGGAAATAACTCACATTTTCTCTTGTGCAACAGAAATCTTGCAATGGAACAATCCAAAATATTGTGCCGTATTTGAGGGAAAATGTGTCAAGGATGTGAAAATACATGATATTGTAAAAGTGGATGTTAACTCTCTTCAGCCTCAAGATTTCCTCTTGGAGGATGAAGCAAATGCAGAAACACCATCAACATGTTACTATATTTATTTATACTGTATGCTAAATCTACTCATTTAAATATATAGATACTTGTATATCATTATATATTAATAACATTATCACACACGTATGCAGACCCACAGAGCGACTAACACACACGAAGCGCTGGCTGTTCTCTCCTCGCGCTGAGTGGCGATGAACTTCACCAGAGCTGTCTTAGGATCGCATAAAAAATTCAGGACTCTCTCTCAGTAACATTCGCCCTACATACAGCGTGCACACATGCTCACACATGCATCACAGCATTATTCATAGTGCACACATGTGAGCAGGCATGCAAAAAACACACACACACGTACTGTACACGCTGGTGCTCTTCATGATATAAAGTGAGCCTGACGTGTTTAATGTGAGAGCAGCAAGACATCAAAAAGGCTTTTATATGAAAAGTAATGATCTGGACCCTCAGACATGCTGTGCATAGCCCATGGAACACTCCATTAAACATCTTATTGACATTTACTGATAAACAGGAGTATTTCTGACGTATTGGCCTACTTGTAGGATCACCTGTGACTGTTGTCGATAAATCACAAAGCAAGCTATTAGTGTATCTGTGTCTGTAAATAACATTTAAATAGTGTGTGCATCTTCATTTGTGATACAAACAAAAGAGCTAAGGCAAGGTGTTTTTGTATATGTGTCTTAGAAGAAAACAGACAGCTCTGCACACATCTCCACGGCATGCTGGTCAGCACCTCAGCTCGACCATCCATTTTCATTAAGACGGTAATGACAGGAGTGGAGGGGTGGACAGGCGAGAGAAGGAAAGATTGAGAGAGTTAGAGGATGTAGTTATGCTCCCATTGGATATAGTATCAAACCACTATCTGCTGTCCTCAGCAATAAACCTCCCTCTGCTCAAATTACATAATCCTTCCACTACTAAACACTAGCAAATTGACTATCCAGTAGTTGGCTTGATATTAACATTTTGTATAACGTGTCCACTGTGTATCCATCAAGTTCCTGCACAGGATGTCTGAGCAGCAGAACGGATTATAAAAGTGTTTTGCCCACTCGAGTTTTCAGTTCAAAGTGGGTTGAAACACCTTTGCCAAGTCAACTTTATGAAAAGCATTTGGGCCATCTGTTCACCCTGGCGGTATACGCACGTCTACAGACAGTACTCTTCTGATGGTAGTTTTCAATTAAACCCACTCCGGAAACACAATTTCATCCTTGCTGCCTTCACCATGTTCTTTCATTCTGCAGTGTATCTGGGTCAGCCAGTGTGCGGAGCCAAGTTGTGGCCATGTGTGGTCAAGTGTTGAGAAGTGAAGAATTGGATGATGTAGGAAAGCTACACAACTAAGATATTACTTATCTAACCAAACATTTGAAACACACAGCTCCTAGAGTCTAAAGTTGCTTCCTAATGCCTCATGAAATCAAATATATTTTCTGAAGGTAAAAGCTGTATAGTAAAACACTTGCATACTTGGTACTACAGATCCTTCATGGCACTATCGAAAAAGCCGGACTTTCAGATCAATAGCAGGAAAAGGGAAGAGACATCGCATGTAATTGAATAGCTAGGAAAGCCCTCAAGTTAATATTTAATATACAAGTGGTTTTCATGCCTTAATTAATCACAGTCTCATATTAACATGAAATGTAATAGAAGTTCAGAAATGATTTAGCGACATATATCTAGCTCCATTATCTTTAATATTTAGCCTCGCTTTGGGAAGATACCAAAAATAGTTACTTCAAAAATCAAAAGCAACCTTTCTGCTACTAGCATAGCGGCACATCCAGCAAATCTGGTCCCACACTGGCAGTAATATTGCTTAACACGCTGTGAGTGCTATAAAAGACTGTCGATCTATGATATCATGCTAAGCGTATCCTCTTCCTGTTGTGCAGATGCTGTCGCAGATGGGATGGGAGCATTCGCTAATGAGTGAAGAGAATGAAATGAAGAAATTCACGTAACGCTTGAGTCATCAAGGAATGAAATAAAAAGACAATGATCACTCCATTGGTGAATCTGAAGGTGAAGAAAAACGTTGCATTGCCCTATAGGAAATGTCCAGGTAAATACAGCTACACTTGAAGACAGCACCACCAGGGAGAAGATGACTGCAAAAGCAATTTTCAGAAGGGTTTATATTTAGGTTGATCTTTAATGTAGCTGTTTTTGTCAAAGGAGACAAAAAGATAAAAACGAAACAAGTTCACATATTGCACTGCAGGTGTTAAGGTTTCTAAAATAAATTATAATTAGACTTCAAGGCTCAAAGTAAACAAATGTTATCTTCCCTGCAGATTATTATATTAATAATTCGTTTGATGTTTGAAGCAGGATGCATTAAAGGTGTCTCAGCGGTCTGTACACTCCCCTCCCTTTCTCTACTGTAATTCTCTAATGTAGTCACAGATTTAACAGTGAAGAAAAACACCAGTAGCAGTGTAATGACTTGTTTCCAAAGCCTGTGGCTACATTTTGGTTTTATTAATGAGAGTCGGTTCAAAACCCATCCTCCGACATGTTAGTAATAAAAGCTGATGGTACTGTGCAACTGGAAAATGTGTGCATGAGTGTCAGGGTCTCACAGTGAGTTTGCGTGTGTGTGTGTGTGTGTGTGTGTGTGTGTGTGTGTGTGTGTGTGTGTGTGTGTGTGTGTGTGTGTGTGTGTGTGTGTGTGTGTGTGCGTGCGTGCGTGCGTGCATGTGTGTGTGTGTGTGTGTGTGTGTGTGTGTGTGTATGTGTGAACATGTGTGGTCACAAATGTGTGCGTGCGTGTGCATGTGTGTAGGCATAATTACAATCTATTTACATGTTGTGAGAGAAAAATTGCATGTTCTCTCCATGCTTTCATCAAACTGATGTAGCATTACAACCCTAAATCAACCATGGCACAAGAACAGTGTCTTGCCATTAGTAATAGCAATTTCCATTGCACAGCTCATCGTCAAGTAAATTGATGCAAGAGAGCCACACTCACACTCGTTAACACACACACATATACACGTGCAGACTAAAAATAGCAGCTGCTTACCTTTCTGTACACTATCATGTTGGGGGACTCATCCGCTACCCCGTTGGTCCCCTGCCCACCGCTGTTGGTCTGTGCCATGATCCAGTAGGTAAATCTGCCACAGGAAACGTCAGGTGCTCCTGTTGGGAACCGAAAGGATATTTTGTTCCATCAGAAGAACAATGGAGCTTGAACGTGACTTGCCCTCACCTTGTCAAGAGGAAAACCATTTACATAACCTGTGGACTGCATCACCTTTTAACGTATTTGACATTTCCACATGGAACAGATGTGCACAGCTCCAATTCTGCTACACGTGTTCACATTTCACAAGGTCTTGACAAGGACATTCTTTTTATGATAGGCAGCTGATTTTGCACACCATTTGGTTTCTGCTGGTTCAATATGAATTCCAAGTGAATGAGGCAAAAGTTCAACTAGATAGGCAATTAATGGTGCCATGAAGAACTACTTTTCCCATTGAGCACAAAATCCATTTATAATGTTGTACTGTTTGTTGACATCGGATAATTCAGCAGCAAGCCTTAATTCCTACATGGCACCTTGTCTGCATCTTAGATTGTACTTGCAAGATAAGGTGAAGTGAAGACCCGTACCCTGACAACAGTAAATGCAGTAAAGAAGAAAAAAAAAAACCCTCCCAATGCAGCTTAGATACATCCACTCTGGTAGAGCATCCATAATCAAACGTGCAAGACTGTGCACATGTAACGGATATCGTTTGCAGGTTACAGCTCCATTATCCTTTCTTCCCCATACGACATCCACACGACATCTTTGGGAGGTTAAGTCTGCAACAATAAATAGCCTATAGCATGCAAACAGCGAAGTCATGAAACCTGTGCTTTACATGAGGCCGTCAGAGATACTATTTTGTGTTTGTTAAACCCCTGCACGTATCAGCACCTTGGACAGCTGCTGCGAAACGCCCGAGCCCGTTAGCGTCCCCTTTTCTTAATCACGAATAGCTCGTAAATACAGCGAGAACACAGCGACAACGGTGACCGGAGGAGAAGGGGGGGCTTACCTGAAAAAACGCGCAACCCGCTTTAGGAGTCCTGAATCCTTGCAGAGTTGGAAGCCTGGTCCTTCGCGTTCAGTATGTCAACTGGCAGACATAGGAATGCGAGGATTTTTCATTGGCAGCGTGAAGAAGCAGACATTCGGCGGACACTTGGTGTGGTTCAGCTCTGTGTCTCTCCTCTCCTCTTCTCCAAACGATGCTGCTCAGAAGCACGGGCGCGCCACCGCCGCGAACGCGCATCGATCCATGACCAATGGCGTGTAAGGAATAAATTACAACCAGTTTTGGAGACATACAGCTATTTCTCCAGCTCAAAATGTACTGCTATGCACTGCAGTGATATGCTAGTCCTTAAAGACAGGTCGGCACATGCTGTCTAATAATATTTTAGCAATTGCAGTTTTTATTTATGGTGAAATTGTGGAAAAATATAGCATACCATCCAGAGTAACTTTCACTTAATTTGAGTATTTCATGTTTTTACTAATGAATATCTTCACTCCAATGCATATTCGGAAGAAAAAAAACTACAACAAGCAAATGAAAAACATTGCACTTATGCAGTAAATGTAATCACCCCAAAGCGTAGACAGTTAGATTTAGCTCCACCGCTGCCTGTAAACATTAAAGTGCTGCTTATGATAATGCATCAGTAAGCTCTTATCCAATCATATAATGCTAACAGAGCTCGTTTTCATGCAGAGTGATACTTTAATGCGTATACTTTAAGTACATTTTTGCTGATAATACAAACATGTTTTAATGCAGGTTGAGCAGTTGATTGAGCATTCTTTAAACTGATTTTATTAAAGGTATGCACATTCTGATACAAGGAGGGACTGTGTACTTCATTTACTGCTGTCCCTATATAATTAATGTTATATATAATGTGAAAACTCAGTTATGTGATCATGTGCAAACCTCTGTAGACAAATTAGTAACACCTTAGACATACTTACTTTCGCCTTTGTTGATTCAATAGAGCTTTGTGTTTTTACAGTAGACAAGGTATTTTTACTTAGACAACAATATTTCAGTTTTAGCTTAAAATATCAGAACTTAACATTGAACACAGAAACTGAGCCACTGTTGTTGCGCCTTATTAAGTATATTTAACAATATTGTTGACCCTGGTAGAATGGTGTATTTTACTCCCTTTATTGTATATGTGAGGGTCTATGTATGTATGCTTACTGTGTTTGACAATGTCACAAATAAATAATATATACAAAAATTAAAAAGTATATTTAACAATGAATTGTCTTCATTAAAAGACAGTTCATGTGTTAAAAGACATACAAATCAAAGGTTAGTGCAGAGGAGTTGAACAATTTTAACTTTCACTTGTATTTCACACACATTGTAATGTACCTCCCAGGCAATAATCCAATGTTAAATATTAGCTATGAGTTTCTGTGATTCAGTGCTGCAGATATGAATGGATAGATACATAAATAGAAAATCTCTTATTTTGCTGCAATCTGTGGCTTTGAGTATATGCAGCAGTCCAGGCGTGAAAGATGGCAGATGTGCCTCTCACCCTTATGTCCTGTACTGTATGTATCTGTGTGTCTGTCTGTCTTTCCTTTTGCTCTCTCTCGAGACTCAAGCTCTCTGCAAGATGGAACTAAACATTGGGATGTACAACCACCATGGATGGGCTGATAACAGCTTTCAATGATTAAAGGTAACTTATTCAAACAGCATTGCAATACATCCTTGGGATATACATATGAAGAGTATATCGTATCGTATCGTATATACAAAGTCATCAGATGTTCATATTCCATTCCATCTTTGCATTATTTTCCTTTTTTCATTTCCATCTGTTATTATAATCACCTTTTTCTGCATTAGCCATGTTTTGTAAGCAGGTGTGTTGAAACGGGGTCATTTATATCAGGCAAGTTTCCAAACTCATTTAATTCATCCTTAAACACATGAAACCAAGAGGCTGTTTTCATAATAAATAGACCCATCTCAAATCTTGCACTAGTAGGAAATTATTTAGAAAGTTCCTTTTATGCAAATTAACAACATCCTTAATGGAAATTGAGTTTTTGACCACTTTAATTCTGGCTTTAGACGCTGAAGAGAGTACTGATTAGGTACTAAATCACTTTATTTTTATTCAGAATATAGAAAGCATCAAGGCTATGTTCAAGGAAATGAATGCACCTTTTGATAGACCGGAAGGCATGGGGCCATGTTGTTGACGTATGTTATCCTGAATCACAGCAGATCACAATGACATGCAGATTTTTCCAGAGCTCAGTTCATAGGCCTCTCTTTTAAACCCACTGTATGAAGACCATGGACTACTAGACCAAACCGCAGAGTTGGAAATGTTAGTGTTATAATGGAATAAGATTTGAGCTTCTTTGCAGCAACATCAGGGATATAATTTAATCAGTCCATAAAAGATTTAGTGAAACTTGTTCATGCCTTCATCTCAGCAGGGTCGACTCAAATAACAGACCCTTGTTTGGTTTCTTAACAGATCCCTGCAACCCCCTCCAGGATGCTGCTGCAACAACTTTTCTCACACCCTCACAATGGCCTCCTTACAGAACTGATTTTTCATTGATGGTTTAGTTTATAAATCCTTTCACAGCTTAGGGCAAAATGACATCACTGATATGCTCGTATAATATAAACCCACCATGCAGACCCCTTAGATCTTTCAGAAGTCAGCTTGATATGCCTCGAGTCAAAACCATAGACTGTATATATAAAGGTAAAAACCCAACAATATGTTGGATTTAGCCACTATGCTGCAGACCAAAGAAACCAGCTTCCTTATTACCCTCTATGCACCCCAATTTTAACCACTTTCAAATCTAAATTACATTTTACGTTATTCTCCTTTGATTGATTATATTCTCTATTGCACTTATATTTTCATTATAACATTTGGGGACATTTATTACTGCTCTGAATTATTACTGTACTTATTACTCATGATGGTTCGAATATCTGTTAAACTCGAACCGTAAGTGAATCGCTGCAAAGTCTGCAGAAACCTCTAGTATCAGTTTGGAATATTTGACGCCCTGAACACCTTTGTAACGATTAAGACGGGTTGAGCGTAGTCGCCCTGCATTATTTTTGTTTTAATAATGAATTGTTTGTGTACTTTTTTGATTTAAATTCATACTATTTCAAAATGTTTGCATTCATTTCAATGTAGTTATTATTTTTATTTATTTATGCTGACGATAATATCAGCCGTTCATCTTCCCCTCTCATTAGTGAAGCTTACATCATAGTCAGGTCTGGCATTTCACATACCGTATGTTCCTGAAAGGTCAGACATCACCAGTGATAACAGTGATGTTAGGGCACCTCATACAGAATGCCACTGTCTCTAATGCTATAAATGCAATGAATATATGGCAATAGACACATCCATGCAGGAACTACAGATGGAAATTAGAAAGAGTTTTTTAGATTAATATATGTTTGTACAGGGCCCCTGATATAAGAAATGTATTAATAAAAGAAAAAAATCTAGGAGGGTTGTACACTATAGACGTGCAGTGAGTAGCCTAGACCCAAGCTTTGTTTTAAATAAAGGCTGTCTTTATTAACTAATGTCACTTTAATAGTCCAAATGTTTTTTTAAATGTCAATAAACTGTAATACAAATATTTTCCTCTGGATTCAGGATTCATAATCAACCTAGTTTTGTGTGGTATTTTAAGATGTTGTTCTTAACTTTACTGGATTTACTATATATATTTATTTATACATGTATTTACATTTATATATATTCACACATATATATATATTTATAAATGTAGACATGTATTTATTTAAATGTATATATAAATGCAGATAAATGTATTCATTTATATATATATATATATATATATATGTATATATACATACATTTATATAATACATGTATTTACATTTATATATGTATAAATATATATATGTTATATATATATATATAGAAAAGTAATTCATACATATAAATGTATATATATATATGTTTGAATTACTTTTCTGTGAACGCCTTAACTGAAAACTCAAATTCCCACAATGCACCGGTCCATTCTTGGTCGACGAACAAAAACGCGGAAACAAAAGAAATAATCAGTTTGTCAAAACAAATAACAACGAGTCGGCATAAAGTGAGCGTAGCGGTAGCTGTCAGCTCTTAAACTTAACACCACAGCTTCGTTTAACCGATCTGAAAGACTTCCCATGGCTCTGAAAAGAATACAGAAGGTAAGAATTCGTCCTCTTTTATTTAATGTACAGAAAAGGTTAGGGCGATGCGGAAACGTCGTTATACCGTTAGCCAGTCATCCGTCTAGCTTGATAGCATCTGTTTGCTACCCTAAGGCGGTTGATTATTGTAACGTACCTACGGGTTTTTGCACATTTTTAACGATAGATTTAGCTAATTAATTCACACGGCAGTTTTTTTACGACAGAGAATCTGATATTTATTCCATTGGTGATGTATTTAACGCTACACCGAACCCAGTTAGCGATAGCTTACGTTGAGCAGTTATACTAAAAATGAGCTAACTTCAAGCTAAGTGGAAGCTAAATCTGGCCTAGCAAACGAACATGGTGAACGCCCTGTACGTTTGTGTTTCTGGCTACTTGTTAATATGATTGAATTTCCTCAAGTTTTAGCTACTCGTCCGCTAACATTGGTGTACAGTTAAACATACTATATTCTCGCTTTTAGGCAGCACATTTAACGTTACAATGCGAGCATATATTTCAAACTCATAACATTTTTGTTTATTCCACTCAATTATTATACAAAAAAACATGTGCACTTTACGCAGTTTTCGTAGCTCGTGATGAGAAGAACATCGTATTTTACCTGCCCCTTATTCATAAAAATGAAACCGAAATCAAAAGTCAACCCAACCATCTACCATCAGCAAAACCGGTTAACTGACATCTACATACTGCCTAATTATTCTTTCTTTATATGTTTTCTTAAACCTAAAGATGTTCATACAGCATAAAAAATGTACCCAAAAATGATTACTTACTATTACTATTTGTATAGGAGTTGCAAGACTTGGGAAAGGACCCCCCTGCCTCATGTTCAGCTGGACCTGTAGGGGATGACTGTAAGTGTGAGAATACGTAAAAAAAAATTATGTTTAATCTACCAAGGTCATTCTTGTTATCAATATTGTAACAATGTTCTTCACGGATTATGTT